CTGAGCCACCCCACGCCTGGCCTCCAATGCCGTTTATAACATAACCTCAGAAATCACACCATTGCTTCCCTTGCATTCTGTTGGTTATACACATCAGCCCTGATGTTAGTGTGGAAGGAGACTATATGTCAATACTGGGGGAGAGAACCACTGGGGGCTGTCTTGTAGGCTGGCTACCACACCAGACTTACATTTCCAGAGACGAGGGAGAGGGAACACTTTCCAGTTCATTTTATGAGGCAAATATAAGAAAGGGAAATAGGCCAATCTCATTCATAAATGTAGATACTAACTTTTTTTTTTAATTGCTTCAGGGTTGCTTCCTCCCAGTTTTATTTTTTTGTGTGTGTTTTTTTTGAAACACAGTCTCACTCTGTTGCCCAGGCTATAGTGCAGTGGTGTCACCATAGCTCACAGCAGCCTCAAACTCCTGACCTCAAGCAATTCTCCTGCCTCAGCCTCCCAAGTAGCTGTGCCACCACACCTGGCTAATTTTTCTTTCTTTTTTCTTTTTTCAGAGACAGGGTCTTGCTATGGTGCCTAGGGTGGTCTTGAACTCTTGGGCTCAAGCAATCCTCCCATCATGACCTCCCAAAGTGCTAGGATTACAAATGTAACAGGCCCTACTCCAATTTTTTTGACCTTGTTTCTGGTGTAAGCTTTTTTGCTAGAAGATACCCCTCCACCTACCACCACCTTTGGAGAAGCTGAGCCTGACATACCCAGTGCACTGCTGGGCGGGAGCTGTTCCATTATTGCTGAATTAGCCTTTGAAATCTCTGGCTCGCCAAGGGGGCTGCATTTGGAGGGGAGTTAGGGGTGCAGGCAGGTGTGCCACGCCTGTGTGCTGCGGCCAGCAGGGGGAAGAAAAATCTGTGGCTCACAGAAATGTTTACTGAACTCTGGGCTTGTGCTATGGCTAGGTACTTAAAACCTTGGCTGGAGTATCTATTTGCCTGAGGAGAGTAAACCAGGCAACTCAAACCTCTTGTTTTCCTTCCAAGTGAATTAGGGTATAGGGAACACAAATGACCTAGCTAGGAAATTTACCTCTAAGACATCACAGAACTCTAACCTCCATGACAATATTTACATTAAAACCTCGTTTCCCTTACTGAGGAACCATCTCTCTGGAAATGTAGCCCTTTTTGATGAGGTTTTCTAATTCCCTCCTCCTGCCAGAGAAGAATCTAGATTTCTAGCCCCTTCAGCGAGCTTCTTAGAAGCATGAAGTCTGTACTGCCACTGGGGAGGTTCTTCACTAAAGCTTGGCTCGAATGCTCCCACCCACTGAGCCTTCCTTCTCCCCCTTTTCCTCACTTTCTTGGCTATCAAATGCTCCCACTGTCCCTTGGTATACCTCCTTCCAGCCTTCTCTGTCTTGTTGATTTCTTTTGATCCGTGAGAGCACAGAGAGCTAAGCCTACTAGAGAAAAATAAATGAACTAGTTGTGATGCTGGGAACACGCTGCGTCTTGCTTGTCAACCTTAAACTGGAGGGAGGAGTGGGTTGTTTCTCATCCACTGAGAAAAGTGTTAAGTTGTTTTACTCTAAATTATGCTGCTAAAGGTATGTAGCAACTTCTGGGAACAAATGAGCAATTTGGAGAATTTGGAACTCTTCTGGTCTTGGTTTGGTTGGGGGTTAAGAGAGTCTGGAGCCTGAGGCTAAATTAGAACCCAGGCAGAGCATGTTTCATTTTCCTTCAACCACCTGTAATCCTCTGCTCTTCCATCTACCCTTTGGAATTAGTTTATCGTACCGGTCTCACCTTTAGTGAAGGTTTCCCGAACCATTCCCTTTGTGCTCTTTCTTATTAACTCTTGTAATGCTTATGGCCTTTTACTACTCTTTTGGTCTTGAGCATATGTTCCCTGATAGCTATTTAATATCTTCTCACAGGAAGTGACTCATCTTTCCCATTGGATTCTCTGTTGTTCAGCTCAGGAACTGAGTCTTGGAGATCTGTGTGTTCCCCCATAATACTGCACATAGCACCTTGTATGATTTGCCATTTTCACAATGGACTGGTTCAGTACCTGATTGTTTTGCACAATTAGAGCAGGTTAGGTCCTTCTTGCGGGAGCTTACAGTCTCAGATAGGCACATCTAGGCTTAGAGACACCCTACACAGAGATGTGAATAAATGACTAAATATATTTTCTGGTTGGGGGAGGCACAGAGTAGGGGGAAGGATGAGGGGAAGAAGCACCCAGTTTAATTTGATTTTTCTCCTCATTAAAATACCTTCTTGCATCCTTGGTCTCTTTTCACAGAACCCTGCCATCAGCATCACTGAAAATGTGCTGCATTTCAAAGGTCAGTATCTGGGCAGATGATCCCAGCTCTATACACAGTAAAGGAGGCACGGTGGTGGTTTCCTTTTATTTATTTTTATCTATTTGTTTTATTCATTTCTAATTGATGTTCACCTGTCAAATACTCTTGGAGTAAACTGGATTGTTTTGAAATATATGATTAGAAAAGTCAAAGAATTTGTTTAAAACTGTGCTTTCCCCATGGAGAGGCAGTAGATGCAAGGGGTGGGGAGGGGGAGGAATCCTGAGCTAGAAATCAGGAGATCTGTTGTCTAGCTCT